GAGTGCCCAGACACACAGGGCTGACTTCCCAGGTGGCTTCTCAGCAACTCCATAAAGAGTACACCATATTTCATATTACGGTACTGCCCCTGAATCATCAACACGGTAAGGATCAATATGCAGTTTCAGGGCTACTAATCACTACTTAGTTCGTGCTTATCGATGCTTATAACAAGTCTGCATGTATTGGAGCAAGAGACTTTATCAACTAGAAAAACTGAAGAAGTAGCCGGGCGTGGGTGGCGCACGCTTATTAATCCTGGCACTGGGGAGACAGAGGCCAGCCTGGTCTACGAGTGAGTTCCAGGACAACCTCCAAAGCAATAAAGAGAAACCCTGTCTTGAAAAGCAAAAAAACAAAAAGAGAAAAAAAAAAGAAAAATTGAAGAAGTGGATTTGGGCAGTGGTGGTGAATGTCTTTAAACCCAGCACTTGGGAGGCAGAGGCAGGTAGATCTCTGTGAGTTGGATGCCAGCCTGGTCTACAAAGCAAGTTCTAGGACAGACTCCAAAGCTACACAGAGAAAGCCTGTCTTGAAACACACACACACACACACACACACACACACACAGAAGTGGATTTGGTCTATGGATGGACTCATTTGGCTTTTAATAAAGAAGCCTCGTGAGAAGCCAGCCGAGATTTGGTGACACCCTAGTTACAGGTTATCATGATCTGTGCTTGCACACAGGTCTCATTCTGCTTTTTGTCATTGGCAAATGCAATTTAGGTTTATTAATCATGAGAGCTGGGCTTAGAATGTATCACACAATTTTCATCAATCCATTAAAAGTATGTTTTCTTTTTCTTTTCTTTCTTTTTTTGGGGGGGCGGTGTGTCTCACCACTTAGCCTAAGCTGGCCTTCAATTTGTAGTCTTCTTGTTTTAGTGTCCTGTGGGCTGGGATTGTAGGTACAAGCCTCTATGCGGGGGCACCAAAATGAGATTTCATATAGTATTTTCGTTAACATTGTGTAGAAAGCAAGGATTCATAGTCTGGACTGTTTTACTCGTGGCTTCAGGTTGGTGCTCAATAAGCCTCAGGTTCTGGGGAGGGGGGTTGGAGAGAAGGCTCAGTGGTTAAGAGCACAGTCTGTCTCCTCTTATAGAGGCCTGGTTTTAGTTTCCAGCAAGCACATGAGGGTACTCACAATAGCCTGTAAGTGCAACTCCAGGAATTTAACACCCTCTGCTGGCCTCCAAAGGCACCTGCATGTATGTGGTATACATACATATACTCAGGCATATTCGCGTGCATGCACACACACACACACACACACACACACTAAATAATAAGTCTTTTAAAAAACATTACAGGTTTTGGCTTCTTGTGTTAGGAACTTTCAGTAGCTTAGAACATGGAGTTTGACCAGTCAGGATGTATTTCTTAACTTTCTCCAGTGCCAGGTTCCTTATTATGACGTGGAGAGATTCAGTGCACCTCACTAGCCTGTGGTGAGGACTAAATGAGGAAATGCACATAAAGCTCATATACATGCCAGCCTGTCTCATGTCCAACTAGCAGTGAGAAGGTTCAAGCCCCTTTCCACATCCCTCTTTCTATCCCTAGGCAGATGAGTGGGGCTAGGAGGCAGGCAGAGCAGAAGAAAAGACCTGGGGGTTCCAGAGGAGGGACAAGAGGGTTAAAACAGAGGAGAAGGGGAGCTTCCAAATTTTTATTTATTTATTTATTTATTTATTTATTTATTTATTTATTTATTTGACAGTGTCTTAATCAAGTTGACCTCAAGCTCACTGTGTAGCTGATGACTGAGTTCCCTCCTGTTCCTTCTGCCTCTACTTCCCAAGTGCAGGGATTGTGGGTATGTCCCACCACCATGCCCCGTTTATAAACTACTGGGCATGGAATCTAAAACTCTTCATGGTAGGCAAGTACTCTGTCAGCTGAGGTGCACCCATCCCCAACCCTCTCTGGCACACTGAGCCGAAAGGGGAGGTGTTTCATTACCTTCAGGGTTTGTGTCTGAAAGTGTTTTCTTTCTTTTTAAATGTATTACTTAAATCTTCAGATTTTTTTAAAAAAAAGATTTTATTTATTTATTATGTGTACAACACTCCATGCATGCCTGCAGGCCAGAAGAGGGCACCAGATCTCACTATAGATGGTTGTGAGCCACCAAGTGGTTTCTGGGAATTGAACTCAGGACCTCTAGAAGAGCAGCCAGTGTTCTTAACCTCTGAGCCATCTCTCCAGCCTGAGTGTTTTCTTTCTGCGGAAGTGGGTGCTGTCTTCATGGACTGTAAGATTATAAAGGACAGTGAGTGGCTTACCTTATTAAGAAGCATGGATGGAGCTTGGACGTTTATATCCAGGTCAGTGCTATTCAGAATACAGTCTGCAAACTGCAGTGTGGGAACTCAGGGCAAGTCAGTATCCAGACAGTGACTTTACTGGGGAGGTGTTTGTTTTTGAGACAAAGTCTCATCATTTTTCCCATGCTAGTCTCCTGGGTTAAAGGTGTCCTCTGCCAAAGCTGCCTCAGCTGCAGGGACTGGAGGCATGCACCAGGGTGCCTGGTGATGGAGTAACTTCTCATCTGCCAAAGCTAACAATAAACACCAGTGTATATCTGGATCTCTATTAACCAACTAGGAATTTACTTTTTGAATTAATTTTCTCATACAATTCGGTTTATTTTACCTTACTAATCTATAGTTTCACAATATATTGGAAAATTTAAAAACCAGTATTTTACCATTGATAGTTTGAGATACACTATAGCACAACATAGTGGAAACTTAATCAAAAGCATTATTCCAATACTGACAACTCTCTAAGGTTCAATATTAGGAAACTTCTGATCCTAAGAACTGTCCTAACTAACAGCTTAAAATGATTCTGTAATTTTTATTGCTTATTGCATGTTAGTTCATGAGTACAAAGGCAAAATTTGAATTTTTCAAATATAGAACAAAATACTAACATCCAAGGAGGCAAGTGTACTTTTTAAATCTATTGTATAAAATATGCATATTTGCTTATTTATTTTTATGTGTATGGGACTGTCTGTGAACCATGTGCATATTCAAGCCAAAAGTGGGTGCTGGATCCCCTGGGACTGGAGTTACAGATGGTTGTGAGCTGCCATGTGGATGCTAGGAATCGATCCCAGGCCTTTTAGAAGAGCAAACAGTACTCTTAACCACCGAGTCATCTATCCAGCCCAAAATGTGCATATTTGTGAGGCAGATAAATATGCACTGATAGTGAGGCCCAAGATATGTTAGGCCATTATATGCATATAATAATATGGAAGGGAAATACTTGTAATACAGTGCTAGGCTAAAAAAAATTGCAGGGACATAAAAGGTTCCAAGCTAAGGTGTTAAAGAGATGTTAAAGAGTATATCGGTGACTTTCCTGTTGCTGTGACGAAATACCATGAACAAAAGCAACTTAAGGTATTTTATCCTGCAATTCCAGATCTGGAGTTCATGTGGTGGGAAGGCATAGCATGCCATCAGAAGCAGGAAGCTGGCTGGTTACATTTTCAACTACACACAGGAAGCAAAGAGAGGGAGGGGGGAGAGGAGGTAGGGAGAGGCTGTAAATCCCTCCTCCAGTGACTTAACTTCCTCCAGTTAGGCTCTGCCTCCTAAAGGTTCCATAATTTCCCCATGTAGTACCACCAATAGGGAAGCACATGTTCAAATAAACATACCTATAGGGGGCGTTTCTCATCTGATCCATCACAGAGTGCTCTGTTACTCTTCCACAGGACCTGGGTTCCCATCTAGCATGCACACTGGCTGGGCGCACGTGCACTGCTTATGACTCCAGCTCCTGGGGATCTGCCACCTTCTTCTGTCCTCTGTGGGCAGCTACCCCCTTGTGCACATACACATATGCAGATGTACACATACACAACATTTAACCTTTTTTTTCTTAAAAGAAAAAAGAAGCCAGGTGGTGGTGTTGCACGCCTTTAATCCCAGCACTGGGGAGGCAGAGCCAGGCTGATCTCTGCAAGTTTGAGTTAAGTCTGGGCTACAAAGGGAGTTCCAAGACAGCCAGAGCTGTTACACAGAAAAACCCTGCCTAAATGAAACAAAACAGAACAAAAAATGCAAGAAAGAAAAAAAGAACTGCAAACTAATGTAACAGATTAACAATTGCATTCTGGCGAGTAACACTTGCAGGACATGATTCTCTGTGTTTCAAATGCTCGCTGTGAGTGTGGGATATTTTTGTAATAAAAAGACAATGTTTACATGTTGAAAATTTGCCTTGATCAGTTTTGTTTTTGAGTGAGCAGTTTCTACAAAATGCAGATGTGATCCCATGGCAGACCACTGCACCTCTATTCTTGAAACTTTTTCTCCTATGAAGAAGCCTGGTCCTTTTTCTCTTTGAAGGTTCTGCTTGTGATTCTAAGCACATGTTTGAGCAGTAAAGGGGGATTTTCATGTAGGCTTCAGGCACAGAAACCCTCATTTGAGTTTTCCCTCCAGTTCATTTCTATCCCAGCTCTCTCCAATAAAGAGGATAAGAAGGAACCTGAGATGTTTTCTTCAGTTTAAAGGGCTTGTTTTTAAAATGAAGATAAATTACTCATTACCAGTCACTAAAACCTAAAAATTCTCATTAGTCATTCTCAGTGAAGTGATTAACCCCAAACTTAGGGGAAGGCACAGCAGTGGTCTGGGGTCTACTGCAATAGTAGAGAATCTGCCTGGTGTGTGCAAGGACCTAGGTTCAGGCCCACACTGAAATAACAGAATGAAACAACATTTTATGCATCACTAAGAAAGAAATAAAAACAAAACCCAGCTAAACTGAAAACAAAAACCCAACCACAGTCAATTTCATTAGGAACTCATGAATATACGAACCCTATTTTCAGATGTATATATTAAAAAACCATGTATCTTGGAATCAATAAAGCATTGTAATAGTAAATGAATTTGATTTCCTTCTTAGAGCACTTCAAACTGTCTCTTGTGCACCCCAAACATAAATGCAAGCACTCAAACTCATGTTCAGTAGTACACTCTCAGTTTATTGACCTATGTAAAAAAATAACAGGTCTCAAAAAGTCAAAACGATGAAAGTATATGCAAAAGGCTATTTCCAATTCCAGAAGGCTATACAAATATGCAAAAAGGAATAAGTTATTATTATTTTTTTACTTGTGTCTTTTTTTCCAAAAAAATTTCCCCAGACTTCATTTCTAATGATACAAATGACTAAGGACCAGTTTAACAAAGCATCTTTATGTATATATTACATGCTTTGGAATACAAGTAGAAAACTGTCCCAGAAAAGCTGTTGAGAAATGTTTCTATTCACAATATGAACAAGAAACTCATATAAAAGGGAGGGAAAAGGAAGCACCTTTCATGGGATTTGGAAGCTGAATAAAGAGACGAAGATCAAGGCTGCCCTAAAAGCAAGCAAAATCCTACGAACAACAAACCTAGCTAATGTGTTCCTCCAGAAGGGGTAGGAGGTAGTTTAAGCCTCATGATTCAATCTCCTGCAGCTTGGAGTAAATTCTCTTTATGCCAATCTTGTTTTGTCACCGGGTGACAGATTTACTTCTGGAGTTCAAACTGGAGGTTTCACTTTCTACTGTTCACCACGTTAAGGCACACGATTCATCTACGATGATGTGGGTTGGCTTTGTCCTCTGGGGTCCTTCCTCTTATCATCAGGGAACCTTCTTTTCAGACCTGTGGTTCCACACTCTTTCCATCTCAAGCCGACCATTTCAAATGACAGGCAAGGTGGAGAGTCACCAGTCTGCGAATTCAGTGTTGGGAAGCACAACAGGGATTGGTGATATGTACCTTAAGAACATTCTCCAAGCAGAGCTGGCCAGTGACTTCCTCTAGCTGGGCTACAATCAAGTTATGGTGTGGGTTGCTATAGCAATCAGAATGACTAGAGTCCTTATTTATGGTGCTTACGAAGACATCTTAAAACATTTACACTCATTCAGAACTTCATGAAAATCTAACTTCTCTTCAAGTAAGTTTCCAATACTGCCTAAATTGCCATCTGTTTGTAGAAACAGTGTGTTTTCTGTCAGCTCATGAGTTCAAACCTTGTCATGGGGAGCCATGACTCGGGAGCTTCTGGGTTTCCTCTCTCAGCATTCTGAACTGTGCTTAAACTCCCATCCTCCTTTCCGTGGGACAAACTCCTCAAACATGTCCCCAGTTTCAAGGCTTGCCTTTGACAATTGTTATTCCCCTTCCTAAGAACTCGCTGTGTGTCAAGGCTTCATGTTGGTTCTCTTGACAGGAATTCCACAAAGGGATCAGACTTAGTGATGGGTTAGTGCCTAGAGTTTGAAAGGCAAGTCCTCATCCCGGGCTTTGTGGGGCTTAGTGTGTGATTCACTTCCAAACCACAGAAGTCTTCTCTTCCCCCTTTGATGCCTTTTGTTTCTAAAGCCTTCTAGGAGACGAACACACTTTGCAAGGCACACTAGTGTGAGAATGCGCAGTGCTTGGTCAGGAGGTCCAACTGCATTCAGACTAATGTTCCAGGCTTGGAGTCTTCGTGCCAAAAGAGTCTCTGCTCGCCACTCTCCAGGTTGTCTTCCAGCTGGTTTCCATCTGTACCGTCCAGCGGAGTGGTCTCTGCGTACTGTCTGGTAAGGGGAACCAAGAAAATTACTATCTGCATCTATTTTACTCCCTCAGAACAAACAGCTCAACAGGTTAGAAGGAAGCACTGTTAGGAAAAAAAAAACTTTCCAGAACCGAAGACAGGAGGCAAAGAGTGTATATTCTTTCCAGAGCACAGTAGAGCATTGTCTAGCACACACATAAAAGATTGTTGAACTCTCAGGAAAGTTCTACCTTTGTTTAACTTTCATTTACTACTGATTAGGGCCCAGAAGGTATTAAGTTACATGTTAACTTGAAGGCATTTATTGGGGAGAAATACAAATGTATCCTTTGCAGCAGAAAATATTATGGGTTACAGTTTATTGCCCCATTTTGACACTGACTGGCTTGGTGTGTAATTTAATAATCTTATCCTAACGCTCACTCTCTTTTATTGTTTTGAATTCCCTTTGAAGCGCCATAGCTGGTTTCCTTATTAATAACAATTAAAAAGTGAATCTGTGACACACGGTTGCGTCTTAATTTGTTTTTTTTTGTTTGCTTCTTAATTTGTTAATGAATCATATTTTAACTTTAAAAAAGCCATATTTTGACAACTTTTCAAATTAAGAGAATAAATTTCATGTTTTATTCAAGGGCAAGAAAAATACTTAAAGTTAGCAGGGATACCTTGGAATATACATCATGTTCTGAGGGGTTATATGGCAAATATGAATTGTCACTGACCCAGGAAATGGCATCATATAGGCATTTTATTCTGAACAATGCCAGGCCAAAAAAAAAAAAATAGAAACACATGTTTGGACGGTGTATTCAAACAAGCACAGTCTATTATACAAACGCTTCAGTTAAGCAAACCATGTTTTTTAACAGTAGGTTAAAAGAGGTTAGATAGTTAGTAGGCTTCTGTTTTCAATTCCAAAATCTTTTAGTAAAGCTGAGTTAAAAAAAAAAAAAACCTTGGAAAGAAAGCTTTGGGAATGGATACTGTGTAAATTCAGGATTTTTAGTGTTTTCAGGAAACATCAAAGCAAAGTCAAATTTCACAACCTCACACCGCAGGCAGGAAGGGCGAAAATCCTGCTGTGCAGAAGCAACAGGCAGACTGGAGCAATGTACTTACTCCCGCTGGCTACACTGAGCAAGACAGAGCTTAGCACTGATCTCACTTCGGGAGCCACAGCCATTCTCTGCAACAGAGGGCCTCGATTGTGCCTAGTGATGGGGAAAGTTAGACAGGAAGAGGAAGGGAAGAGGGAGACAGGAAGTGAAAGAAAACACGTTCATCTGAAAACTGTAGCTGGAAAGCTCAAAGCTGCCCCTTCTGAGATACTTCTAACACAAGAGACTTCTGCCTGGCTGCTTTGGGCAGTCCACCAGTGCCAAGTTTACCAAACCAAACTAGGAAAAAAGTTGCCAATACAAACTACTAGCTTTCTATAAATAACATTCAGCTCATTAAAAAAAAATCCACTTGTATGCTGCTGAGCGTTTTCGGACTTTAGTGTGGACTAGAGTTTTTTCCCCTGCATCATGAAATTTATTTTGTCTCTTACTTTTATTAACACAATGTATTAATTGTACAAAATAGGGTTAATTACAACAGTGTATGTATTCTGTCTCTGATTTTAAACATTGTGTTTTTTGTTGATTGGCTTGCTGTGTGTGTGTGTGTGTGTGTCTGAGACAAGAGTCTCACTTTATAGTGCAGACTGACCTAAAAATCATTATGTAACCCAGACTGCCCACAAGTTTGCAGCAATCCTCCTGCCTTCGCCTCCCAAGAGTATGAATCACTATGTCAGCTTTAAAAACAAGTTTCCATAAAAAAATGTGTCATGCAATCTTGAGGCAAATTTCTGAAGTTTTAGGAATTATTATTGTTGTGTTTGGCTTGTTAGTAAATTCACTTAAAATGACCAGATTGTATCACAGTTTTTAAAATCCTACATAAGACAGGTATGTACTTCTGTGAACCCTTGGGTGCCAAAGTTCCCATTCTTCTGAAAATAGGGAATTTAATGATCACACTTTTCAGTTTGAAGTATTAACTGTACTTTGGGGATGAATCCTGAGGAGGTGGTCTGAAATGCAGGCAAACACATCACACAGGATAAATTAATATCACTACTAAGAAAAAGGCTAATAGTTGTTCAACAATATGGAGCTCTTGGATAAAGCATCATGTGTTTAATAACTAGGTATATATGTAAGGTTTAAAATGTTTAATGATAGCCACATAAAAGGTGATGCACATCTTTAATTCCAGCATTCCGGAGGCTGAGACAGGAGGATCTCTGAGTTTGAGGCCAGCCTGGTCTACATAGTAAGTTCTGGGACAGCCATGGCTATACAAAGAAACCCTGTCTTGAAAAACCAAAACAAACAAACCAACAAAAAAAGTTTCACAACATAGGTTTGAATTTTTAAGTTACTAAAGTTTTAAAATGAGATGTGTAATTTCATATGTAACAAAAGGTGCAAAACTGTATTTACTGTATCATTATGAGCATCTTCAAATGGACAGAGGGTTATGGAGAAATGTGTCAAATGTTAGCAACACTGTCTCTGGTTGGTAGGTTTATGGCTCCACTGTTATCTTTTCTAGTCCTTTGTTACTTTTCATGTTTTCTCTACAGTGAGTGTGCACACCACCCACACCACAATGGAGTTTTAAATAACTTCCAATTTCCTGCACACTATGTCCCCTCTGACCCTGGCCTCCTCTACTCAGCCGTCTTGGTCTGAAATACACAGGCAGACTTGGTAGGAACAGATCTTCTTCTCAGAGTGTCTAGTGCTTCCTGGATTCAATGAGAGCAGAGTTAATGATAAGCGCACCCTGGTGTACACTGTCTCAGCAGAAAGGAGAGATACAATCTATTAGCCAAACTGATGAGAGCCGTGTTGAAAGGGTTCAGCTCAAACTTTCGGTTCCTGCTGCAAACTCATTTTAAAGCATTATTTATACAAGCCCTAGCCCTCTAGCATCCTGTGAAGTACAGTTCCACCGTGTCTATTTTGAGCACACCCTTTGTGGAGTTGAGACAATTGGCTTCATATTTCAAGCCAAGAAAAACTCTGGTGGAATGCGGGGAAGAAAAACAAGGATTGGGGGACCAAGTACTTCATTTAGCCTGGAACACCAACTGACTCTGTAGGGAGCTGCTAACTTGCCAGGTCTGCTAGCACAGACACTGTACAAGCCGTAATCACCCTACGTCTCCTTCACCAGAAGCGCCAATGGGACTTAAATAAGATCAAATTTTCAGCAACAACCAAAAAGAACCCAGACAATGCTTGTCTTCACGGCATTGTGGGTGTGGACTGTTGGGGTAAGAGGAAGGAATGAAGCTAATTCCTCCTCTGCCCCAAAATTGCAACTGTGTAATTCTAAGTTTGTGATTCTGGGGGCCCTTGTTAAGCTTTATTCCGATCTGTTTGAAGCACTTTAATAGACCTGAGGTGAGTTGATAATCATTTGCTCTATCCAGCTTCTGTCATCTGTGTCAGGGGAGTTACACGCTCACTTGGGGAGAAGCGGGTGAGGTTTTAGTCGCACTGGACGGTGTTGTGCGTGTGAATTCCCTTTTCTGTTTACAAAGAACTATTTTAAAAGACAAACAGGACAGCTGGCTGTGTCCACGTGTCTTAGTGAACACAAAAGGACACCAAGTGGTGAAACCTAACTGACCAACTGTTGGCTGGACTTTAGCACAAAGCGCTTAACCAGGGGAGAGGTATTTTGCCTGCAGGTTTTCTCTTTCCCAGAGAAGACTTAAGTGGACCTTACCCACAACACAGTTTTAAAGACACTCTTAAAATGGAAGAAAAAGAGAAGCCCAGCTGTGGGCCTGAGACTTTAATGCATACAGATGTAAAGACAGGACGGAACTTGGATGAGTTCAGAAACTCAGCAAACTTTCCGAGTGCAGCTGCATTTTTGGCTTTGCTGGCCATTTGCTGTTTGTCAAAGCCATTTAGCTTTGTCCTCAGAGTGTGAGCACACACACGGCTAACATGTGGAATAATGAGCATGGCCATTTTCCAATGAAACATTATTTACTGAATGAGGTGGCTGTTGGGTTCGGCCTGTAGGCTCTTGACCACACCCTGTGTTATATCTCTTCACACTGAGACTTAAGTGTAGGAGCCAGGTATCTTTGCAGAGAACTAAGATTCTAGAATCTGGTCAGTACTTCCTCACCTGCTTGGAGAGGGTAAGGGATTGTAGATGCTGCCATAGCAGCTGGTGTAGGGAGAATGCACTGGGTTTTCGTATTCAGACAGCCCCACGGTTAATTGGGTCCTCCAGTTCCCAGAAGCATTTGTAGAAGACACTAGAAATAAGAATGGGAAGAGAGAGTACATTAGATGAAATACTTCAAGGGACATCTGTTCAGGTTGCTTCACAGTCAGGCGTGCGTGGAGTAGAGAGAAGAAGGGCCCATGTTGCTTTTGTATTTGCCGGTGTTGGGGACCGGTCCAGGCCTTGCCCCTGTTCTACCACTGAAACAGACTCCTATTTGAGCCAGAATTTGCAGTCAATGTAATTTGTTGGCTTAGAGACTGAATGACCTTGGGCCAGTATCTTACCCTTTTCAAGGCTGTTTCCTTGTGTGTGGAGAGAATAATAACAGGTATACTCAGTGTGGTTGCATCACCACGACTAAAGGTAACCATGAACACCTTTAACCTAGTGTGGAATCAAGAATCATACATGCTAAGTATTATTATTAACAGTAGACGGAGGGAAGGACAAAACATTTTCAAGTACACAATTTTAAAGTAGCTCAGAAGAAAAAGGGAGGGGATTGTTATAAAGGGAGAGAATCTTGGGGGCTGGAGAGATGGCTCAGAGGTTAAGAGCACTGGCTGCTCTTCCAGAGGTCCTGAGCTCAAGTCCCAGTAACCACATGGTGGCTCACAACCACCTGTAATGAGATCTGGTGCCCTCTTCTGGCCTGTAGGCATACATGGAAACAGAGTGTTGTATACATAATAAATAAAAATAAAAATCTTAAAAAAAAAGAGGAGAGACTCTTGTCACAGGGGTGTCAGCTATCAGGGCAGATGGTACCTGAGAGTAAGTAGAGGTTGGGGAGGCAGAGCATTCAGCCCGTGACTTGTTAAGACTCCACTGCCAAATGCAACAACCCTGACCACTGGCACGACAGGACATTTTCGGTTGTTGAATCAAAAGCAGTGGGGGTGGGGAGAGAAGCCAGCAGCAGGAGGAAGAGACTAGTTTTGCAAAAGGGTGGAACCAGGAGAGGACACGGGCATCATTTTGAAGCAGAGCTCTATTGAAAGCCTGTCACTGGTTTCTGCTGTTCTCTCTGTAAAACCTGTCCTGCTTCACGCCTGGGCTATGCAGGTGGCCCTATGGCCTTGTGCATATCCAAGTCTCACAAAGACAGTCCCCACCATGTTCTTCCTTGTTCTCCATTATCTGCTCCCAGCTACTGACCTCTTTCCATACCCACAAACCACTTGCAATCACCACAGACAGACACACTTCAAAATGCATCTGTGCATTTGGAATACAATAATATACTCAATATGTATTGAGTATTGAATATATATTAAATAACATATATAACATAATAAATAACATATATATTCAATATATGGAATATATTCATAATGCCACATAATTTTCACCCACTGATGTAGGGGTCCTCCCGGTGGGTTTCCAAGACTGGGTGCTAAGTAAAGGTCCTGAGGCTTTGGGGTTACACTGTTTGAGCTGGAACAGAAGCCCCATTTAGTTACCTGCCAGCCTAGAGCTTAAGCAGAGTCATTCAAACTCTAAATCAGAGTCATCTTAACTGCAAAATAAGAATAACAAACAGAACAACAGCGCCCACCCTACAACACTGCTGCTCACATTAAAAAGCAGAGCATCCTGGCACAGATTGCTGCCAAGAAAAGGTGCCTACCATCCCTGCTGAAACTGAGTCACCACGAAGCCTTCAGGTGGTGCCAAATATGACTAACCAGAGACAGGAAATGTAGCTCTCTGTGTGAATGACGTGTGCCTGTAGACACACATCTCTAAAGCTATAAAGTTAGGCAGGAATGAGGAACATTCCAGAAGGGATTTCAGGAAGCCTTGATTTCATCCATTTAATTCTTTGTAAAGGGCAGACAGGTGTGGTAGGACAGGCAAGGGAGAGGCCCTGTGAACTTGAGGCCAGCCCAGGACACACTGTACGATCCTATCTTAAACCGCCAAGGGGGGCTTAGGGGGAGGAGTGCTCTCTGTGGTACTGTCAGCAGAGCTGACACCACGTTAGAACCAGGAAGTATGACCTCCGTTCTCACCCTTGCCCTAGATACAAAGCCAACAGCTGAGACAGGGTTCTGAATCACACCTGGGTTTCCTTGGGTGTGTAGTGTCCCGTGTCGCGCCCCCCCCCCGACCCAAAGCCATCCATAAGACTTTCTTTGCCTTTATTCTTGTTGACAGGTGTGATCTGTGAAAGCTTTTCAAACTTCACCCTGAACTTTGAGAGCAAGACAGGCACCCTCCAGGTCAGAGCTATAAACCACAGGAAATAATGACAGGAGCCACTTTCTGGTGTTAGATGTCGTCATAGGTGGGATAGTCCTAGCAGAAGTCCAAAGTCCTGGAAATAGGAACAAAGTGGAACCCAAACAGAAGTCTCCATGGCAATGTCTGTTGTCAGCTAACTTATGAATCTTAAAGGTACAGTTCACCCTACTGTTCCTCAGGCTTGGAAATTCCCACATATGTTTAAGGGAGGCAGCAAACCTCTCAAATCTGAAGCTTACTTAATTTTCATACATTCCTTCAGCTGTTGACTAGCACCTGAACTCAGGGAGGCCAGACATTGCTTTAGTACTGAGTTCTCATCATGACAGGCAGCCGGCTCCTCAGCTCCTACTTCTCTACCTAAATTACTGAGAACAGGTTAGGGTGTGCAGCAGGTGCTCTGCAAATGTGAGCAGAGGGCGTGGCCCAACCCCATCTAAAGGTTAAAAAGGGAACACTGTTGATGATCGAAAATCATCTACAAAAATTCCTGGGGTTTTGGCCAATGATGTTGGTCATGGAATCAGGTTTTCAAGCCCTCCAGGCAAGCACCCAGTCCCTCAAATTCCTTACATTAGCAATTCAGGAGAGCACATCCTGAGATAAGATAGAGAAAGTAAGTAGGAAAATACTTGACAAATACCTATCAGAATTACTGAAATCACTGCATAATTACTTATGCAGACAGGCACATGAATATTCAATCTTGGAATGGATCTCATCTTGGCTGTCAACGAAAAGGGACGCATGATCCTTAATGCCCTCAACTCAGCTCATGTGCTTCTTTATTCTTTCAGAGTGTCAAACTCCAACCATGAAACTACATGCAAGAGGTGTGGCTACCGGCGTAAGACACAGATGACGACACAGCTGGTAAAAGTGCCAACACAGGACAGCACACAGACTAGGTACTCGGCCTGTGTTTGCTAGGCTTGAATCTACAAATGGCTTCATCAGACTCTCATGCTCTGTGAAAGCCGCAGAGCACTGTCCAAGTCGGCAGTTGGTGCTATGGATCCACTGAATGGTGACTGCTCTTAATGACCTTGGGGACCAATCTCATGACCTTAGACAGGAATGGTTTGGGATCATGATAGATAGTGGCCCCAGGGGTGATGTGACTCCCCAGCCATCTTACCTGAAGAGTAGGAGGATGCTCGACTGCTTGGAGAACAGGGCACCTGCAGCCCCGGAAATCCCAGGCACCTCTGTGATCCCCTGTCTGAGTCAAAGCTAGTCTGTGGGCTGTGCCCCTGATCCTTTTGCCCAGAAGCCCTCTGGTACCAGCCACGCAGGTGCTCAGCAACTAAGGCCTTGTGGATGTTTTTGGTGATGTGCTCAGATTTCACGGCAGCCTTCCTTGGCAGCCGGAGAGTTGCATAAGGGTTATGGGGTACGCGGTCTACCTCATCTTCATGGAAAGACCTGCTGTAGTCCCTCTGTCGGTCGTATCCGTAGTGAGCAGAGGATCGGTAAGAAGGATTGACACTGTACTGTCCCTCGGTGTCATTCTCATAGACATAGCCACCACTGTAATACAAGTCACACTCCGCATATGGAGTATATCCGGCGATATAGTAACCAGAAGGATCCTGACCCTTTGAGTAGACACCATTTCTCAAAGTATCCTTTTGTGCTAGGTTGGGCATGCTTCCTGAATTGGAGGTAGAAACATTCTGTTTCTTGGACCTTCTCCTACCCCTGGCTCGGGTGTCCAGAGTCTGGGTGGTGTAGTAAGGGCCGGAAGCAGGTGTCACACAGTAATACTCGGAGCTTGACTGACTGGTGTAGGAAGACCCATCGTCGAGGATCTCAGTGCTACTGCTTCTTTGGGATTTGGAGAGGGTGAAAAATGGCTTGTCACTGTCCATCTCAGAGAGCAGGTGGGACTGGGACTCCAGGCTTCCGCTCCGCTGGCGGCAGTGCTGAGATGAAGAGTCGGGTCTGAGGGAAGAGAAGGGGACATGAGTACAATTGAAAGACCCAAGGAAGCAAAAGGAACACTAGGCTGAGGGCTGGGGGGGGACGGCTCTGTAGCAGAGTGCTTGCTGTGTGAGCATGAAAACTTACTACAGAACCCATGTAAAAAAGACACACCTGCTTCCTGTAATCTCAACGCTAGGGAGGTGGTGACAGGCAGATCCCTGAGGCGTGATCTAGCATAATTGGTGAGTTTAGGGTTTAATGGGAGACCTTATTTCAAAAAATAAGGTTGTGGCACAATGACAGTAAATGCCTTTAATCCAGTACTTGGGAGCCAGAGCCAGGTGGATCTTAGTGAGCTCAAGGCCATGCCTGGTCTACAAAGTGAGTTTCAGGACAGCCAGGTCTGTTACACAAAGAAACCAGTCTTGGAAAAAAAAACGTGGAGAATGATGGAGAAAGGTACCCTATGCTGACATCTGGGCTCCACATACATGGACTGTCATGCATATGAACACCCACACACATGCACATCGAGGAACACATGCAACACAGAGAAGAGAACATGCTGAATAGATTGATAACTTCTAAATTCACTTGGACTTTGCAGGTTTCCAAGTCTGAGCACGCAACAGAGTTCACCTGTTCACACACACACTGGTTCACACCGAAGTACTTATTATAGTTTTTTATAAGGGAGGAATCGGGTTCTGTTATTGTGCAAGCCAAATCATTTTTGAGGCTAGGGAAGATACACATACATATGTATGTACATACATACATATATACATGCATGCATGCATACTGGTGTGCAGCCTGAGTTAAAGCTGGAAGATGCCCACCAACAGGTCTTTGGAGGCTCCTCTCTTCTCACATAGGGTTAGGTTACTTAAGTATAGAAGAGAGGCAAGGTGGAGTGGAACCTGAGCCTATATTAGAGATTCTGGTGCTGACCACAGTTTGGCTGGCTATTCATCAGCTGTAAGAGTTAGGCAAGATACTTCTCCCAGTTCTGCTCCTGTGTTTGTAAAATGAGATGAAAGTGGTACCTAACACCCACTTCATAACAGGTTTGCTGTGGGTACTAACTAAAATAGCATGGGTAAAAAGCATTTATGGGTTGAACATACAGCTCAGTTGGTAGTGCTTGCCTGGCAGGCATGAAGCCCTGGTTTTGGACGTTGGCACCACATGTGGTGTATGTCTGTGGTGCATGTCTGTGGTGCATGTCTGTACCCCAGTGCTGAGGTGGTGGAAGCAGGAAGGTGAGGAGTACAAGGTCATTTTTGGCGACATAGTGAGTTCAAGGCCAGCCTGGACTGTATGAAATGGTGTTGCTAAATAAATAGTATCTTTTAAAAAATAAGAGAAGATAAGACTTTCTGCACAGAACTCCACAAATACTTTAAAAATCCACTGCACTTATTCTCCACCTTAATAATGAATGATGAATGGTAATATCTAGTCAGGGAAATTAAAGTACTAAAAATCCAGTATGTACCTGGAGGAATCAAGTACATGGTGTTTACTCACAAATTACAAACTGTAAGTTAGCGGGAAGTGTGGGTTGGAATGAGTCAGGGCTACTGGCAAGTAGAAAGTCACTTTAAAAGATTTAAAAGGGCAACAAAAGCGAGACAAACACTCAAGTCAAAGCTGATGGCACTGAAGCAGCAGAAAGGGAGCTCTTACTCCAGGTGGCTGCTGCTGTAGGCGTTCCGAGTCAGGACAGGTGTGGTGGGCATGCTCCGTCCTCCTTGGGGCCGCCTCTCCAGCGTTTTGTAAGGGCTGCTGTGGGTGGACAGCATTTCTCTGCAATTAGAAGGAGTTGAAAAAATGATGACTCCTGGCAAACTTGCTACATATGAAACTTACTAGAAAGACCTGGAAGGAGAGCATGGGAGAAGGATGGAAGAGGGGTCTCTGTAGGTGACCCCATCCTGAGGGGTCCTGGATGACTTTTAGTGGAAGCACATGTGGTCTGACTCTTTGGAGTCATGCACACAGCCAATAAGAAGATGTTCAATAGCGTAGACTGAGAGCTACTACAGTGAGGTTCTTCAAGCCCTTCTTTCAAGTCTAGTAGAAAGGATCTGAGGTTGGACACATACACAGTATAGAAGAGCAGGCGTGACTGTGTCCCAACAAAACTCAATGTAGCTTTCAGACATCACTAGATATTATTGCTTTTGGCCTGTTCCCTCCAATTTCTTAAAAATAATTTCTTAAAAAGTCAGCTCTTGGTGGCTAAGTTGGTCCAAAGTTGTTATCCATTGGAATTTGACTAAAGTGTATCATTTTTAAATCATGTTTTTCTACTTCCCAGAATTCTAAGAACATAACTGCCTAAGGGGAAGGCATAATACTGGCGCCATAACACACAATTAGCACACACAGATCCTGGTAGCAGCTCCCCACTGCTCAGAAGGAAACTTCCCAAAGAACTGTCTACTTCCTGTGAACGCAAACAAAGTGCATTACAGCTCAGAAACACAAAGACAAAGATTTGGGTATTCACAAAGTGAGGCCACATATAACATAAAATTTTTTCATATACTTTTCCTGTGTGTATACATATATATATATATATACATACACACACATATATACTTACAAACATCTATACTTTTATACTTTGTATTTTCAATAAGTACTTAAAAATTGAAGTTGCATATACCATTTTTGTGCTGCTTAATTTTGTTTATACTTTTAAAAATTTTATTGTCAGTTACTTCGTTAATTTTTTTTTTTAATTTTGAGGACTGGATCTCTGTTGGTAGCCTGGGCTAGCCTTCAGGCTAGCCACAAACTTATAGTAATCCTTCCTTCTTCAACCTCGTAATGCTACACTTATAGGCACAAATCACTATTTGGGACTCTACAATGTCACTCATACTCATTCTACCATGTGGTTTTATGGTAATTTATGTAAACAGTCCTCACGTTGAAAGTTGCTTTAGATCCGAGGTTATAAAATTAAACTGTGGAGTCCTAGGCCTGCTAGAATTCGACTTGAAACCCTCCCAGGGATGCATGGGTTGAAAACTTGGCTTTTAGCTTGTGGGGTTACTAGAAAGTGATGGAAACTTCGGGGCCTGAGACAAGTGGGATGAAGTTAGGGTCATCAAGGGCATCTCCTGGAAGGGGAAATTAGAATCGGCCACTTTCTGTCTCTCTCTGATTCTGAGTCACCCCAAGATGGGCACTCTGTTCTACCACATACTCCCATTACAGTGCTCCCCGAACCACAGACCCATAAGGAAGGGGCCAGGTGACCATGGCCTCCAACCTCTTGAAGCCACAAGCTTTTTCATAGGTCGCTTAGCTCGGGCTAACATCATTCCCTAATCTCAATTAGATGTTAAAGAGTCAAGGGCTTTTTAAAAAGCCCTGTTAAGAAAACACCCTCTGGGTGCCTTTAATCCCAGCACTCAGGAGGCTCACTCTGTGAGTTTGAGGCCAGCCTGGTCTACAGAGTAAGTTCCAGGATAGCCAAGGCTACGTAGAGAAACCCTGTCTCAAAAAACAAAAACAACAAAAACAAAAAGAAAACTCTCACTCACTCTCAACAACAAACCTCTGGATTATTGTCTTTGCCTCAGTTTCCTATTAGGATATTGTCTAAAGGGATAAGTAATAAGCAAGAAAAATGAGTCCCTGTTTTAGAGAAGGGACTTCTTGGTTTCAAGGCATCAACCTTAAGACGAGAACCGCTCACCTGGACTGCCTGGTGTCCATGAACTGGTCATTGATGGAGGATTTTCTAAAGTGGATTCGCTCGATGCCAAGAGACTTGGGGGGGCAGAATTCTTGGAGAATGAGGTACTGAACTTGGTCGCTGCCCAGCAAGAGTGAAGGAGTCATTGGCTAAAGTGAGTCGAAAAGCAAATGGATAAAGATGAGCGAATCAGTAAATGAGTAGCCTGTCAGTCTTTCACAAAGAAATTGGCAGATCAGATGAACAACAGTTTTTCTCTAGACTCTATTTGTAGGGCTATGTAGTAGGAATGCTTACATTTTGTAAAGTTAAGCCTTATGATTGGTATGCAAAAAAAGAAAAAAAAAAAAAGAAATATTGAAGTCTGAACCACTTTTTCCTCAACTCACAATGACCACTCTGAGTAAGAAAATCACTCAGGTGCAATGGGTGACAGTGTCACTTTAAAAACCTTTTATTAAAGACAATCTGCAATTTGCCAGGTGTGGTGATACATGTTTTTAAGCCCAGCACTTGTGAGGTAGAGGCAGGTGGATTTCTACAAGCTTGAGACTAACTACTAGTTCCAGACTACACAGAGTTACCTAATGAGACCCTTGTCTGAAAAGAAAGGAAGGAAAAAAAGGGGGTTTTGTTCACCTTTAAAGACCTCAGGCCTCTGAGGCTTGAATTTATCCTATGGGGGATGGGCTCTGTTGTTGCAGACATGGTATGTTCATGACCAAACTGTACATTTTCAAAAAATGAAGGGCAAGTATGTTGGATTACAGCTCAATGGAAAGATCCTGAAGTTGTGAGATTTGATTTTATTGACCATCAAACTCAGAGAAAAAGCAGTGAGGGACTGGTGCAGGGTAAAGGCTTCCTGGAATTCTTGAAATCACTTCAGATAGATAGGCGGTCAGCTGACTACGTATAAAGGGATACAAGGAAGTACTCATTCCCTTGATATGAAACACATTCCATCCCCAAACTCACTGAACTGTTATCAGCCACTGTAGCCATACTGCTTACTTACAGGAAATGGCAAACATGACATGAAATCTAACTCATAAAATGTGCCTTGCCGACACATAGGGGGAGGGCCTGGGCCCTGCCCTGGATGAAATGACAGACTCTGGAGATCCCCCATGGAGGGCCTCACCCTCCCTGGGGAGTGGAGTGGGGATTGGGTGGGGAGTTGGGGGGGTGGCTGGTGGGAGCCTGGGGGAGGGAGACGGACCTGGTATTGACATGTGAAGCAAGCTTGTTTCTTATTTAAACTAAAAAAAAAGGATTAAAAAATGTGTCTTGCTTCCTATATAAAATAAAATCAATTCCTACTTCTCCAGAAAACAGCGGTCTGCAAAGTGCATACTATAATTTGCTGGTTTGGTGATGGAAATCGTAAGTGAAGGACTATGTGACTTACACAGTTCTGTGTCTTTAGTTTTTTAGAAAGTTAAAAAAAAAAAAGCACTTTAATATCCTTACAGACCGACTTACTCATGCTATGGATTTCTGATTGGGTGGTCCTGTTTTAATATGTTAGCCTGCATAGAGAACAATTGTAGACCTCTCACCTCAATCATTTGTATAAAGATAGTTTATTCTACTTTCTTCCTTCCCCCTTTCTTTCTTTCTTTCTTTCTTTCTTTCTTTCTTTCTTTCTTCCTCCCTCCCTCCCTCCCTCCCTTCCTTCCTTCCTTCCTTCCTTCCTCCCTCCCTCCCTCCTTTCCTTCCTTCCTTCCTTCCTTTCTTTTTGTTACTCTTTGTTACAGGGTCTTATTGTTAAAACTATTATGTAGTAAAGGAAAGCACTGAACTCATGTCTTGCCTCCGCCTTCCAAGTCCTGGGTTATTTGGTGTTGGGGACCAAACCTAGGCATGCTAAGCTGCATCCTATACCCAAGTTTACTTAAATTAAAATATCTTAGGGACAGGAAATGAGGCTCAGCTGTTAAGAGTGCTCACTGTTCTTCCAGATGACCTGAGTTCACTTCCTAGCACCCATGTCAGAAAGTCTCACAAAATGGCCTGTTAACTCCAGTTCCAGGGGATCCTGCCTCCTTGGATACTCCCCATACATGTGGTCAACACACACACACACACACACACACACACACACACACGCACACACACACACACTAATAAAAATAACTGTTTTGAAAAATGATCTTCACACTTCACAGTACCTAATATTTTTAAATGAAAAAGGGAGCCACTTACGATCATCATAGGTGGTGGTGTCGGACAAAGAACTGCTTTCTGATGGAATTATGTCTTCTGTGAATAAAAACAGTCATCTTTAGTATAATTGTGCATTTATACAATTAGAATGAGTTCAATAGAGCAATTTTCAGTGGAGTGCATTTTATTTTCATTTAGATAAATGTAAGCAATTACAGTGCATTAAGAATGATTAGCTGTTGTCAGAATCACTTACATTCTACTAGAGATAAAAACTTCTGACCTATTGTACAGATGTTATAATGAAGTGGTCATTCCTCGGTATCCACAGGAGATTGGTTTCTGGTGGTCTCCCCAACAAATCTGAGGGTGTCCCAAGTTCTCTTGGATACTGTGAATACTCTCTCTATTACTTATAATTCCTAATATGTTGTGAATGTTATGTAAACAGTTGTTATATTGTAGTGTTTAGTACAAAGACAATTTTCCCTCAAATATTTTTACCTGAGACTGCATGTATCTGTCTACAGATGTGGAATCTGAGGATAGAAGGACAGACTATATTTCTTTTTTTATGTCTTTCTTACTCTCTCTCTCCCTCCCTCCCCCCCCTCTCCCCCTCCCCCCTCTCCCCCTCCCCCTCCCTCCCCCTCCCTCCTACCCCCTCAACACAGTCTTATATAGAAGGCCAGGCTGCTCCTGAACTCTCTATATAACTAATAATAACCTTGATGCTTCCATGTCCCAAGTGCTAGGATAACAGGTATACACCACCATGCTGTTTTCTTGTGTTGCTAGGAACTGAACCCAATATTCATGTATCCCTACCAATACCAACTGAGCTACATCTTCAGCCTCTGACTCTATCACTTAGAAAAGGATTAATATCCACAGAGTTTGCCTCTTAAACCGGCTATGGTTTTTTAATACGTTGAAAGGAAACTGCATCCCATATTTGTTCTTGGGAGTTTCTTTGTGCATTATAGAAACTATATCTATTTAAAGATCTGAAGCAGCACTCTTATACTCAATTTCAATAGCCCAAAATGCCTACAAATATCATCAACTATTTCTAGGGTGGGGGGTATGGCAGGCAAAATTGTCCCTACTTAAGAAGCAATGAATTGGAAGATGAGTTTAAATCTCATTTTTGTCATTTATTATTTTTGGGAGCTTGGTCAAGTTGCTTCATCTCAGTAAGGATCATTTGGCTCTGCTCTGCAATAGGGATAATAACAAGGTCTATTGCATAGTGCAGAGATTAGCCATTTGATTAACTAATGACGCAAAGACCTTAGCCAGCTCCAGGCACACAACAAATGCTAGATAATAAATACCAACTACACAGGTTGGAGAGATGGCTCAGTGGTTAAGAGTACTGGCTGCTCTTCCAGAAGTCCTGAGTTCAATTCCCAGTCACCACATGATAGCTCACAGCCATCTATAGAGGGATCTGATACCCTCTTCTGGCATAAAGTCATACACAGATAAAGCATTCATATATACAAAATAAATCTTAAGAAAAATGCCAACGATGCTTCTTAGTTTTACTACCCGTACTCAGCCACCTAATTAGAAATGACAGCCATAGTGTTTTGAGCATTTCTGGTACCCATTTGGCAAAAGAGACATCTCAAATAAGTTGATATGATTTTGCAAACCATTCCATATTCTGCGTCAACTGTTTTGGTGAAAGGTTCTATACAACACCTTGATGTAAGTTTTAAGCCCATTATGGAGGGACTGTCTTCATTCAAACTCAAATGCTAATCTTTATCAGAGCCAGGTGGACTCTCTCTTAATTAGACATACAGTGAAACTTGAAGGCGAGGTGCCAGTATAGTCAGCTGTTGAGTACGCTTAAAAAACATCTATCCAATATATGCTCAACCAATGGCACCATCTGCTGCCCAAATGTCAGCCACCAAAAAGAACATTTGGGTCTAGCACAGCTTGAGGGTGAATTGGCTGTGACAAATGGCCACGAACATTAAGCACACTGTTAATCACCCATGTCTGGAGGCAAAGTATCAAACCACCATCAGACCAACTGGATTGCACATTTACATTCTCCAGCTGTGGTGGACTAACATTTGTGTGTAAATGTCTGTATATTCACTTTCTGAAATTCGTATGAATCACAGGCTCTAAGCCTGCTCTGTTCTAAACCCAGGTACCACAGCTTATCAAACAGAAAGTATGTAATTATTTCGTATTCCAGTGAAAATGTAAGGTACTGCCAGTTATGATTATACCACTCATCCAATGGAGGAATGAATTCAGTTTCTCAGGTGTTAACACATAAAGTTTGTCTAAAAAGCACATTAGTATGTACATAAAGTCAATTAGACTTTAAATAAACACAATAAAGACTTCTCAGTTTTTTTCTGAATATGAACTTTTTAGATACATGATGTCGAGGATCTTGGAAACAGAAGAGAATCAGCTCTCGAAATTCGAAGACTGTTAGTATTTCGAAATAGTTCCCAATCAATCATCCTGTGTGCAGGTTTATACAAAGTCAGGATTACCTTGTGGTTATAATCTTATCTCTCATCTTGCCGCATTCCATGTTATCATCTGACATTTGCTTACTTGTAAATACTGTCTTGAAATGGGATAGTCCTAAGACCTCTCCTCTTCTATACACATGCAAGATGGGGTCTCTAAGGAAGTGCAGGGTCTTTCACATTCAAACACCTTCCAGAAACAGCCCGCATCATGAAAAGTCTCTAGGGCACTGTTGCAGAGGAGTCTGTTTTATCATGGGCCAGCATCCCTGTGAGCCTTCATCCTGAAAGTTTAAGACCTGTCATACAGAACTGCCGCTGTCATACAGCCTGCTACTGAACATCAAGGTCACATGCCCTAGACACTGAAAAGTGGACCATTTTTACGCCTGCTTTCAATGCTTGCTCTTCTGCCTTTCACCAAGTAACCAAGTGAAGGAACACTACCTCCCAGGAGGAAGACCGGGTGCAGGGTCTGCTGACAGCTTCTGCTTACTAACCTGGTAGAACGACTGTAGTCTTCTGGCTGGGTTTCTTCCCACACCGGATTCGGTATTCGTTGATGGAATTTTCAATCTCCTGCAGCCTTTTCACAGCATCTGTGTAATCTTGCTTCCGTTTTTTCTTCACGGTTTTACAAAGGTCTGGCTCACTGGCAAGTTTCTTTGCAGCTTCAACCAGCTTTTGCTGTATTAGGAAATTGCTCTCCAATTCTTGCAAAGCTGGATCCTGCATTTAGACAATAAACACTGCTTTATTTTTACAGACACATGCAGTCACTTTCTCCCATTGTTTTTTTTTTGTAACAACGAATTATTATTTATATTCTTGAAATGAAATATTCTGTGTTTTAATAGCATAGGCATCCTCACTCAACTTCCAAGAAGACGTCTCTCACCCACCCTAACCTCACCTTCTCATAGTCTGACCTCTTTTCCTTTGGAAGGAGGAAAATGACTTTGCATTTATTCACTTGGCTGGGTTAAGACCAGTTATGAGAAAAAGATGCTAAGCTGTGACTCACTCTGGCAGAATGTTACATTTATATGTGGAGCTTTAGAGACACGTCATTTGGGTCTGACTGCACTTTCTGGTTGTCCCTGGTAGCATGACTGAACATACTACTCATAAATAATCTTTTAATACTTTAGTTTCCTGAATTGGTAAAAGGAAGAAAGTACTTTACCAAAGCGTGCTGAAGATTAAAGACACACCGTGTGCTGCTTAGGTCAGAGCTGAGCGCACAGGCAGGCAAGCGCCCAGCGAACATCAAAACTTGACTCTATTATGAATGGAAGCAGAGATGGCCAAATCCCTGTAAGAACCCTGGGGTGGGTCCTAATGGCATAATTGCATGTGATATGCAATCGAGAGAGCACACACTATGTTGCCCATCAAATCTTTTAACTTAATTACCCTGACTGCTGTATATGTGTTATCTCATTTAGTCCTCACTACACCCTGCAGAGGAGAGTTCCACCGCTGTTTGCCCTTCACAGATGAACCGAAACTTTAGGCTGATGAAACCATTCGATGAAGGCCACTTGGCTTTAAGAGAAAGCATCTAAAGCTAAAATTCAATCTTAATTTCTGTAATGCTATTTGCAACTCACACACAGGTTTCCTTTAATGTGCTGGGACACGGGAAATAGAATAGCAAGAAATAAAATCAATTTCCCTCAGAGCATGCATGAAAGATTACAGTGCAGTTTGATTTACTCTATCTATTTCCATGGCTTGGAGAAAAATCTACAGCACTGACTTGGAACTTAAGGTGCAGATGGAGGACACCAAATAGATGGCCATCCTGTCTGGGCACAGGATGGCTCAGTGCCATGCTCGTACCTCTTCAGTAGGCAGCAGGTTGTCATCTAACTTGAACGTGGTCCCCACTCGCCTCCTGACCTGAGGGGGCTTCTCGCCGATGCTCAGTGGGTACTCCTTTGGCATTCTGCCTGTGAGTTCCTGTAAAACAGGACAGGGTCAAGAGTTCATAATGGACACAGGCTACAGCCACCCAACACAAGTGCCTGGAGAGGCCAAGGCCACTCACAGCCTCGCGAAGACAGATCTTCTTCAGCTCTTCAACTTTCTTCAGGAGCTTCTCTTGCAACAGTTTCTCCTTCTTCTTGAGTTCTAGGATTTTCTCTCGTTTTTGCTCCTCCATGCCTTCTGAGTCCTGAGAACCTAGAGTGGGGGCAGGGCAGGGAGGCTCACACAGGCCCTGTTTCCTTCCTCACTGAGGGACAAAGGGCTGTGGAGGCAAAGCTGCTCCTGAATGCTGGTTTCAGTTCTTTTTTCCTTGTTTCTGAATATAATGAAAGGAAACCGGGAAGCATTTCACATGCTTCTGGGCATCCGAAAGTGCCTGGTAAGAAAATTCCCGGCAACCACATGGTGACTTATAACCATCCATCAAGATCTGGTACCCTCTTCTGGCCTGCAGACATATACATGCAGGTGGAATACTGTATACATAATAAATAAAAACAATTTTAAAAAAGAAAATGCCTTTTGCACTTTGTGGCTCAGTCATTTGGAGGACCCTATGAAATGCCTTGTGGTTCAAGTGCACACAAGGACAAACTGCATTTGTTTTCTAAGAGTGAAGGGGAGATGATCCCTGAGATAGTACCACTCAATGTTTCTTTAGGAGGTAAGCAAGAAAGGCAATGGACTGGGGCTGGAGAGATGGCTCAGTGGTTAAGAGCACTGACTACCTTCTGGAAGGACCTGGGTTCAATTCCCAGCACCCACATGGCAGCTCACAACTGTCTCTAAGTCAGTTCCAGGGAATCTGACACCCTCATACCAATACACATAAAATAAAATTAAATAAATCATTTTTTAAAAAGGATCAGTCAGTGAGCCACCCACAGCACTTGGGAGGCAGAAACAGGTGGATCTCTGTGAGTTCGGGGCCTATCTGGTCTACTGAGTGAGTTCCAGGACAGCCTTGAAAGCTACAAAGAAACCCTGACTCTCAAAAAACAAGAAAGAAAGAAAGAAAGAAAGAAAGAAAGAAAGAAAGAAAGAAAGGCAATGGACTGTTCTATGCAAAGGAACCCCCTCCCTAACCCCCATTTCTGCAACTGAGACCCACAAACTGAGAGGGATTTAGGTGAGACAAGTTAACTTAGTGATAAGAAACTCCAGAATTTCTACAAAGGAAAGGACTGGGCCCAAGGATTACAGCTCATGAACTAAAGTGTGTTTGTATAGAATTATATATTCTGTGGAGAATTAGTGGCAGCAAACAGCTTTCCAGACAATCTTGGGTACTCAATATCTTTGCATCTCATGTTATTTATACAGCCTGACTACCTACAATTTTACTTCATATTCTTTAAAATTAGTTAAAGGCAGATCTCTGTGTGTTTGAGGCCAGCAAGTGCTATACAGTGAGCCCTTATCTTAAAATAAATAAATAGGTTTAAAATGTTATTTGAAGCTGTTGCATTTTGCTAAAAAAATTTCTTTTTGCCTCAACAAGATGCATGTGGGAAAGATGTAGAACAAACACACACACACACAAACCAGAGAGAAAGAGAAAAGAGAAAGAAATAAAAAGGAAAAAAAGATGGCTTATACTTTCTTTTTGGTTTTCGAGACAGGGATTCTCTGTATTGTTTTGAGCCTGTCCTGGAACTTGCTCTGTAGACCAGGCTGGCTTCAAACTCACAGAGATCCGCCTGCCTCTCCCTACCGAGTGCTGAGATTAAAGGTGTGCGCCACCAACACCTGGCTTAATACTTTCTTGAACAAGGAAATACCTGAGGATATCAGGCTGCCATTGCTTGCCATGATGAACTGACTTTTTGCTTCCAGAGTCACTAGTTTGGAGACCCTCTGTGCTCCAGTCTCCGTTAAATCCATTGCGATATCGTCTAAACTTCTAGCTGAAGGAATTTTTGCCTATGAAGTAAATAACATTGAATTGAAATTAGCACGATCACATTTTAAATCAATGCAATGATTAAGTTACTATGCAACCAAACATGTCAACACAGAGCAATTTAAACCTTTAAAGTGGCACTTTAGAAACAAGAGAAAACTTTTATTTTGCACATGGATGGTCTCATTAAGTATGCACGATTCAATGGCTAACTTTAAAATGTCACCAGCAGTGTCACCACTGTACAAGCATATGCACACCAAGTCTCACAACTTTTAAATCAGACACACACACACACACACACACACACAGCTCATCTTTTATATATATGAAAAAACAAAATAGTGGGTTTTTATATGTATTCTGAGAAAATTCATTTCAGAACAGGAAGGAAAAGGACTGAATTTGTCCCCAAAGAAGACCTCCAGTTACTCACTTTGCTCTGCTTCCGATCCAGGTAGAATTGATGCTGGCTAATGGCCATTACCCAGATGGACTTGATGAGAGAAGAGTTTGCATACCAGGTTTGTACAAACAGGCCACTCTGTCCAAAGGTTCTTCTAGACACTGAAATCCTAAAACATGAAGAGAGCCGTGAGATAGCCATCCCCGGGCCAGCAGCACATGGCGTGTTCCTGGCAGGCAGTGTCGTCACGTCACACAGCACCTCCCTTCTCCGTCTTTCGGCTGCACAGACCAAACCTGACAGGGGCTTAGGTTCTGATGTCGTCCTTTTAGAACAAAACCAGTCAGCCCCCAAGCGATCTCTGTCTAAACTCTCACAACTCAAAGCTGGATAAGGAGTTAGTCAAATGAGAAGCTGTACAGAAACAGCTAGTTAGAAACCACAGAGAAGCGGGACTACCGTACGTGGGAAAAGATAAAGGCGGTCATTTAAAGACAGCCACAAGGCCTGCAGAAACGGCACCTGCCCTAGGCGAAGAGGGAGCACCTCAGGCTTGGGTAGACTCAGCCTGCAGGGGATGAACTTGATGATACTGGCTGAACATGTGTAAGCCCCACCATGGTCCAGACTGCTGCTTGTATTCCAGGTGAAAAGAGGAAGGGCAGGCAAGGAAGACAGTCAGCGGGAAGGGGGGAGAGGGAGGGGGGGAGAGAGAGGGGGGGAGAGAGGGGGAGAGAGGGGGGAGAGAGAGAGAGGGAGAGAGAGAGAGAGAGAGAGAGAGAGAGAGAGAGAGAGAGAGAGAGCCACAGGGAGGAGGAGGAAACTGGATGGAGAAGGCAGAGAGGGCAGAAGGGCATGGAGTGTGTGTGTGTGTGTGTGTGTGTGCGCGCGGGCGTGCGTGCGTGCGCTAACGTTCTTTATAGGAACTGGTTAATCTCCCTGGTCATCGTTTGGTCACAGCAGTTTCCTCCCATCCCTCTGACCTCCAAACGCCATCTGGGGTCTAAAGAGTAACTTCTGAAGGTTGTCAGGGACCTACATTGTGACCTCCATTCATGAGGATAACTTTGACAACTGTGTTGATTTCTCTTTTTCAGGACCCAGGAACACTCAAAATAAAAAAAAAAAAAAAGCAAAGCACAGAATAGATTATTCTCCTAAGAAGTTAAACAGCCTACAAGATCCTGAAAAGAGGCTTGGGCCATGGTTAGTCCTGAAGGAAAACACAGCTCAAACAACCTTGGCTAGTTCATACACACACTGTAGATCCTGTTACACAGACCAGCCCCAGTTGCATGGGCAAGAAACTGGACTCATAGGTTTTTTTTAAGCATATGAAATTGGGCTCCAAACACATTGTATGTGTATATATGAAGTTCTCAAAACTAATAAATACTATATTTAAAAATCACACACACACACACACACACACAAATGCTAGAGAGAATGTGCAGAAACTGGAACCCCATATATCGCTGGTAGAGATGTAAACCAGCTAGTGCTTTGGAAATGACTGACAGTTGCCCTAAAGTTTAAGCACAGTAATTCTTTGACCCCAGTGACTCCACTAGGAAGTAAATTTCCAAGAGAAATAAAAAGCAAATACAAAAAAAAAACATGCACACACATTCACAATATCCCACACAAAACTCCTATCTTTACCTTCGAGGATCATGCACCTCCACCGCAAATTTCTTCTCACGGAAATACAAATTTTCCAGCTGCTTCCATTGAAATAGCTAAAAAAAAAAAAAAAAAAGAGAGAGAGCCATGTAGCCTTCATTACTCTTGTTTTTACTAAGTCTCTTAACCCAATGGTTGCAGGTTCCCCAGAGGGACAGGGATGAGGTCAAGTGCAAACTGGTGATTTATAAACTTTTTACTAATCAACTATCACTCCAAACCACTTTATTCTTTCTTCTGACAGCAATGTTTACCTAGTAAATGTCACCTCACCAGCTCATCTTTCCTGAATAACAAAACTGAGCATCCGCAGAGCACATATTCAGTTTTTCCCCTGACTCAACTGTATGACAGGAAACCTTCATCGATCACTGTAAGCTCAGACCGTCTGCTCAAAGATGGAGACTTGAATGGAAAACTACGAAAGGGGATGTTTCAACCAAGATCAGCGATAATATTTCAAAGGCATGTAAACTGAAAGTAAAAGACATTCCCAGGTTGAGGTGAGTCTGCTAAGCAGCCTCTTACCTAGCCCTAAGCCCCCGTAAGTGACATAGGCTGAGCGCCAGGAATCGGGGTGAGGGCTGACTCTTGTGGCTTTCTTAAATTGGGTGCCTCCAGGTGAGGTCAGAGCTCCCAACCTCTCCTGTTCTCCAGCTGCCTTTCTGACTTTGGACTCAGGAGTGGTCTGCCATTTGGATGCAGACAGAAATTTCGTTGGAAATGTGTATTCAAAAAATCCAAATAATTTGAAAAAATGCATATTGACAGGGTCCAGCATACCTGGCTGTATTTTTTTCAACCCCTTCATTAAATCCTGGACTGATGCAGCCTTTACAAGCTCTCATCTTGGACTGGGTGGTCGGCCCTTCCTCTCCTCCAGCCCCGATGCACTAGGGTCTGCCTCCACAGTAACAACAAAGCCTCTTAGCACACAACTAGTTGTCTAATTAAGAAACATTGCTCTGTGGCATGCAGTCAACAAACACATTTCCCGAAAGAAAAACAGAAGTTTGCACAAAAGCGGGCCCCCAGGAAGATGGGCTGAGCTGTAGGGTTGTACGGGGACACAGCGTTCAGACGGGACCTTCGACCCCAACAGCACAACAGACCAGCGTGCACCAAAGACACACAGCTGTCTGCAACCGCCCCCCTCGCCAGCTTCAAAGAATTAGTAAACACATAAAGCTACATACCAATGTCCTACAGCGTCTGTGGAGCTGATGTTGTCATTTCCTTTAATCCAGAAGCTCCCCCAAATGGGGCAGAAACATGAGAGGAAGCCCCGGGACCCTGTCTGCCTCCCTAGCCCGATAGCAGCTCCGGTGCCTTCTGAGTTTCATAAGACACTTAGGTGTAGCTCGGTTTCACAAACCGAGCCTCCCACGGTTGACACACCACTGACATCAGCCACTCTGCCGAGGGACACCTCCCCAGCACACTCTTTCCCATCAGGGAGAGGGGAGCCAGGTTCTCTCTGGTAGATTTTCTCAGAGAAGACTTCTAAAATGGGGCAGCCTGGACTCCCACGGCACTTCCTGGGAGGTGAGCCGACTTTGAATCCAGGCACGAATTTCACCCAAGGCAGTTTGAGGAAAACTTTTTACCCAGGTCTGCTCGCTGGCACAGGAACAGGTTCAACAGGAAGAGTCAGAAGGCAGCCTGGCCGTGTTTTCCTTTGCTGTCCATTCCCACACACATAAAACCAGGGCTCCACTTGAAACCTGATCTCTGAGAGCCGCCCCTCCCCCTCTTATCACTTACAAATGGGAAATGCTAGGCTGACTCCATTCACCCTCCCAGAGCAGAGGCCATGCTGGCGCCTAGCAAGAAGAAACTCTACTTAGAAAGTGAAGGGCTTCGACGTATTTACAGGGAGTCGGAAACAATCTCATGGCAACCGGGTTTGCAAAAGAAGTTATGGGAGACAGGCAAGGTTTCGGAAGAGATGGGAAAAGCTCCCTTCTCCTCCAAAATCTTGAAAGGTTATGCAAAAGGTGTCTTTAGATATTTGCCTAGAACTGTGTAAAAGCGAGCTGTAAGTGCCCAAACTGAGCTCGCTACCTGAGTGGTGGATTCGAGCTAGAGTGTACTGTGAGTGAGACAGGAAACCTCAGCTTGAGAAAAGCCAAGGTGAAGTTAAACTGACAAAATTAGTCAGTGTCCACGTGCATGGCTTTGCCTGAGTTCTCATACATTTTTATAAACTAGTCCTCAAAACTTATTCTCGAATTAAAGTAATACTCGTTTCTCAAAATTAGGAGAAAGTTGACAGGATGACACCAGTCCGCCTGTTCAGAGCCCAGATCTTGGTTGTCTGGGAGATTCTCTAGAAATTCCATGTGACTACAGTGCGATCCTATCGATGCTTACAGTTGCTGCGAACGCTTTTTATTGTAGCTGCACTTGATCTAGCTGGTGACGAGATGTAAGATTAGCTTTGTTTGATGGGTCTTTTTTTTTCTTTTCTCGAAATGTGTACAATCATTCTCCCATCGCACTTTTCCATTGTTTCTGAGTGCCTGCTTTCAAGGAGGTAGGCGAGGCCCCGAAAGTCCAACTGAGGGAGGTGGAAGAACCACCCTGGAGGGTGCACAGTGTGCTGGATCTAACAGACTGCCAACTGGGGATTTCAACCAGGGCCCTCGGGCTCTTCTCTTGGTCCAGGGCATAATGTAAAGAACAAACCAGAGGCTCCCTCCAGCCATAACCATGTGGAGAGGTTATATCAATGGAAAAGGGAAAGGGGATTAGTTAGGGAAATAGCCAAGGCAACCTGACTGGGTTAGAACTTCCTTAGAGAAGCAGCCTATGAAGACTTTTTATCTCTGAGAAACGAAGAAGATGCCAAGGGAATTTTGAATTTGAGGAGAAGATTCAGGCTCAAAGGAAGCAGCTGGAGACTTCGGATTTGCTACTGCTTGGAGAGATGTCAGGCAAGGTATGGTGTCAGGCATGATATAGTGTCTGATGAGATAAGACAGTGAAAGCATGCATTTGTGTACACAAACATAGTTGCAATTCTCCAACTAAAACAGAAAAAAAAATTGCCCAAGTCAAAATCCTAATCTTGAAGACTCTAAAAAAAGAGGAAAACAGGAAGAAAGGGGATACGATTTGTTTTCAGTGGGGTTCAGAATATGGGAAGGACATGTATGTTATGAATCAGTGTTCATTGTCAATGTGTACTTAGTAAAATCCATGCATTTGAGAATCTGTTGTTTAAAAGTGATGCTGCTAGTTGCAAAAGGGAAATAGCTGAAGGATGAAAATAAGACTATTAATTAGGTCTTCCAGATGTCTCTCTACTCTAGACTCATTTACAATGATTAGTTGTCCCCTTTGGAATCAACAGAAGGAAGTGCATACATAATTGGTAGCCGACAGCAGTCTTGGGTTACTTTGATATTGCAAAAGTAAATAAATAGATAAAACAGGGAAAGGAGGGAGAGCATAAATAATGTCAATGAAGACATAATCAAGAAGTCACAATAGGAAGATATATCTCAAAGTCATTAGTCATCTGTCTCCAAACAAAGAGGAGCTAAGAATTTGAGCACTGAAGTAGAAAAAGCATGGTGTATCAAATACTGTTTTGAAAATGAACTTGTGTAAAACACCGCACACACACACAGTTCTCTTTCTCTTTAGACACAGGAAGCTGAAGTCTTTAGTGGAAAATTGCTACATTGTGATACCACTGTATTCAAAGAAAGAAGTCTCTTAAAAGTTCAAGGCATTTTGTTGAAATCAATAGTTATTGTTCAGTTAGGTCCACCTATTACAAAGGTTCCTGAATAGGGCTGGAGAGACCACTCTGCACTGGCTGCTCTTCCAGAGTTCAGTTCCTAGTACCCAGAGGACAGCTCACAACTGCCTGTAACTCCAGTTCCAGGTGATATGATGCCCTCTTCTGACCTCCATGGCTACCAGGCACACTCTTGGTATGCAGACATACAGGCTAACAAAACTCTCACACACAAATAAGTATGTAAAAAGCAAAACAAAACAGATTGATATTTTTTCAAGGGCAGGGGTCTGAAGGGCATTTAGGAAACAGGTCTGATGTATACCAGTAGACTTTGACTCATTCCTTCTCAATGACAATGTTTTTTTGCTATTGTTAATAGTCATAGCCCTGGCTGTCCTGGAACTCACTATGTAGACCAGACTGGTGTTGAACTCATAGAGATCCACCTGTCTCTTTGCCCCCAGTGCTGGGATTAATGGCCTGCAGTACCAAGCCCAGCTCAACAGTATGCTTTGAACACCTCCTGTGGATGAGACTCTTTACTTGATAAACAGTGAGCAGGTTCCGTCCCTCATGCCATACACATCAGCCTGTCCAGGTTTGCAATTGGATCCATCATTCAGAGCTGTGCTAATCAGCGAGGTACTTGACTTTCCTAAGCCTCAGTTTCCTCTTCTGTTAAATGGACCAATGATGTCTGCCTCCAAAGGTTATGCAAATACAACTTGTATAGGGTACTTGGACCAGAGCCAGGCTTGGCATATGCAGCAGTGAGTGTATGTGTTGTGAAGGGCTCGCTCTACACTTGGCTTATTGTTACTAAATGGATGACAGCCACTTAAGAGCAGAAACAGAGCTATCAACAGCTATCTGACTCCACATTTGCCCCTCCGAAGAGGAAACAGCTCAGTGGTTCTGTTGACATAGCTGGGTCATCAGGCCTCTCTGTCTGTGACCACACTGGACTGGCAGTGTGGATCTCTTGGGTGGTTTCCTGATGCATCCTGTAGGGAGGAAATCTGTTCTTCCATCCTGTACCTGGTGGTCATTGATGAGTACAGGGACAGAGGGTGGGGTGTTAGCCTGCTCTGCAGACAGACTGGGTAGCACATTCCCTTCAGTCTGTAGTAGCCAGGAAGAAGGAATGTGCCCCAGCATGTAGAGGAATGCTGGAGAGCCAGCTGCCTAGGGCAGGGGGGTTGCTTGAGGGTCACAAGACCCCTCCCCCAGGGGAGGGGGTGGGATTTGGACAGAAACGATCCAGTTCTGTTTTAAGGCATGACAAACTGTGAGTAAACACCACAT